TCAATCTACCAATGACATCTGCAAGTGATTGTCCCGAGCCGCTTCGGCTCCTCCTATTTCTCGCTTTTCCATGGCCAGATGTGTTTGGCCGTTTTTCCCCTGTTGTCCGATCTGGATCAGGTTCAAAGTCGCTATCAACCATGGGAATCGCACCCTGATTGGAATAAGTGGAGGTCTCCACCGGTTGAGATGTAGAGTTGTACGCATGTCTCCCAGTGGAAGTTTGTTTCTCAAATATGATTTCATAAAGCTCCTTGTGAGGAAATCCTTTGTGGTAGAATTGTTGCGCCAGTGGGTTTTGTTGGTAATGCAAAAGAATAATATATTAATATTTGGCAGTCCGAAAAAAATGCGTACAATTACGGTGTCGTTGATTAATATTAGTTAAAAAAAAGTTGAAAATTTATCTTCACATATTCTTCCCAAACCTTTACGGGACACGTTGGACTTTGCGACTCATGAACCCATCCGAACCCCGTGTGTTGCAGCAATTTCCGCCATGCTTGATATACTCTTCGCAGGCGAAAGTATTTAGAGGTTAGTTGTGTGATGTTGAGTTTCCTCCCAGCCACTGATGATAAGTCGTCCAACATTTTCTGGTAATCTGCTGTTTTTATTGAAGTACCGTGTGAAGTTTTTGCCCACTTAGACAACATGACCATAAATTTGTGGGTCATCTCAACGGACCAGTTCATGTTATCACTCATCTAAGGACAATATGGTGAGAACGACAACCAACATTGGGACACCATACGAATCACCAATCACATTACAAACAGACATACGCACATGTAAACATAATCAAGTAAACACAGATAAACTTATACCTCGTTCGATCCGACACTGCTTGAAGACATCAATGTAGGGGAAGATGTAGATAATGTCGACCAACAGGGTGTATGACGAACTCCAAGTCTGGAAAAACGTCGAAACTTTCGCCTCTGCTGCAAGTAGTAATCAATCCTGCGACGTCGGGATAAATTATACTGACATCTGTGCATATGATCGTAATTTGTTCTTACGATAAAAGAACGATGTCGAATCTATAGAACAAATATATCAGTTAGTGAAATCCCAACAAATTATTTCCAATAATCCAATAATTTTTTACTCCCAAAATTTGTCCATTACATACAACATATTACATACAGAACATATGAAACTGCACAATATTTTGACGCATGTGCTAAAAATTGTAAGCAACATAGCACATGTTGTAAGCGTTAAACCCCACAAACAAATCCACAGATCCAAGTAGCTCATGTGTAGATATCAGTTTGAGTCAACCAATTATAAAACGCATTATTAAAGTCCAAATTAAAAGGATTAATGAAACGAAAAAATAGTACTAACACAAATTATTTCCAATAAAATAAAAATGAGGAAAATTGCGTCTCGGGTGTCTTGAAAACAAATAGGTCACGGAAGCTCACAAACTGGATTTGGGTACTTCGCGGGTCTCTTTCCCTTCCCTGAATATTTTGGACAGATAAACATCAAACACAATCACAAATTCATGCGCAGATGTTTTGTACACGAGATTTAAAAACCTACCAAAAAAAACCAAAAACACCTTTCCCTGTGGACAGATTTGCGACGTCGGTGGGTTCACGGTGGTGGGTTTGTGATGATCGGTGATGTCGGGGCTTCACTTTGGATAGATCTGCGATGACGGTGGGTTCACGGTGGTCGGTTTGTGATGATCGATGACTTTGGGGCTTCACGTGGGACAGATCTGTGAGGATGTGGGTTCACAGTGGTGGGTTTGTGATGATCGTCGATGTTGGGGCTTAAGGTGGGACAGATTTGCGACGTCGTTGGGTTCACGGTGGTGGGTTTCTAACGATCGGCGACGTCGAGGGTTCATGTGGGACAGATCTGTGATGTTGGTGGGTTAACGGTGGTGGGTTTGTGACAGATCTACTATGTCGGTGGGTTCACGGTGGTGGGTTTGTGACGATCGACTTCCAATTGTAGCAGATCGACGACGGGAAGTCACTGTGAATGGTTTGTGATTCGTGGTGTTGTTTTGTGATTAAGGTGATGCAGTGGATGATGGTTTGTTCCGGTGACGTTTGTGCTGTGATGATGGCGACAGATGGTGATGCGTGGTTGCAGTGGGGTGGTAATGTGATGATGGTGGAAGATGGTGATGGGTGGTGGCTGTGTGGTTCCGTTGTGATGACGGTGGAAGATTGATTGGGTGGTGCTGTGGGGTGGTTTTCTGATTCAAGTGGCTGGTCGGAATTCTAATGTGCTTTGTTTTGTATTTGCAGGTGGAAGATTATTTTGGAGAAGAAAGATGGTTTGTGACGATGGTGAAGCATTGAAGGTGGTAATGCAAATTAAGAAAGTGACAGTGGTGAAGCACTGAAACTGGTAATGTAAACTGAGAAAGTGAAATGGTGAAGCACTGAAGCTGGTAATGGTGAACTGAGAAAGTGAAATGGTGAACTAAGAAAGTGAAATGTCAGTGAAGAAAAGTGAGAAAGTGAAATAAAAGCAGGACTCCAAATTGTCTTCAACGGTAAAAAAAACTGTCAGGATAGCTGTCAGGATTTTATTTCTAGGATTGCAATGTGTAAATATTGAACCAAACATTATTTGTAAAATCCGGTTGAGAATATGGTAAAAATACGGAACCAAACGCACCCTTAGTGTATTCTGACTATTTGTGTTATTTTTCATTAAGAGTAATTCTGTTAACAATAAAACTGTACTTACAATTTTTTCAAATAACTTTTTTATACAACCTTGATGTGACAGGTCATGATTGGTCAGCTCGCATTTAGAGATGGAACAAATGGGTCGGGTTATGCGGGTCAACCCTAACCCGACCCGCATTAGAGAGGGTTTAACCCGGACCGCCTTATAGGCGGGTCGGGTTAAACCCATCCTGCATGCAACCCCCAGGCGGGCCAGGTTGCTATATGGTAACCCGCCAACCCGACGGGTTGCTATTTGTTTACAATAGCCAACCCGCTGGGTTGGCCCAAAAAAAATTAAAAAAATAAAAAATAAATTATTTTTTTCAAGTTTCCCCAATTTTTTAATTCTTTTAATTAAACTATTATGATTGAACTCTTACAAATAATTTTACACAATAATATTAAACTATACTTCTAAATCATAAATATTAAAATGTATAAAACTTCGTAATATTTAACACATTATTATTATTATTTTTTATGGTATGTAAAATATAAAAAAATTAAATACTGAAGTCTTATTCTTTAATTTCCATGTCTTGTATAAAATATAATTCATTCTTATGCTAAAGTTTCATCAATTGAATAAATAAATCTAATTTTTCTTATATTACAATTTTATTGTATTAAAATTGAATTAATATTTGAAATGTTAATAAAAAAAAATTAATTTAATTGAATTATTGATATTTGAAAAGTTAACTAAAAACAATTACATTGATTCATTTATAAATCGTTAATTATTTATTTGAAAAGTTAATTAAATAAAACAAAAAATAAAAAAAATAAAAAAATAGGGTTAACCCGGCCCGACCCGTAGCCTAATCCGGCGGGTTAGGGTTGGCGGGCCGGGTTGGGCCAACCATTACCCCAAAAATGGCAGGCCTAACTCGGCCTGCCTTTGTTGGCGGGCGGGTTAGGACCAACTCGTCAAAAGAAGTAACCTGCCATAGGCCGGGTCGGGTTGGGTCGGACGTGTTACTTTTCCACCTCTATTCGTATTTAGGTAAACGGGATCCATTGCAAGTTGACCAATCATGGACTACCATGTCAAGGTTATATTAAAAGGTTGTATCAAAAAGTTGTAAGTACAGTGCTGCTCTTTTGTTAAATTATATGATTTCATGGTTAAACATGTCATTTAAACAAATTATTGATATTTTGGGAATTAAAATTAACAAAGAAGGTTATGAAACTCATACTTAGCCCAAGTGTCTTGAGTCAACTCAACGCTGAATCAGCGAAACCCGTCTTCCGGCTGCACGTTTAAATGGGAAGTATGGGGGACATGTAGACACCCCTAGGTTGGGTGAAAGAATCTCTTCACCCTTAGGTTTCATAAATTAACATGCTACCCCCGAGCGTCACATACGTGAATAACAACCGTTCCGTTTAAATTAGCCGAGTAAGGGCTTCAGATTATTTGGCTCTTAACAAAATAAAATTAATGGTCCATTTTTATTTATTGGATTGAATAGGTGTGCATTTCTCAAAACTAAAAGCTAATTAAAATACAATAGATTATAAAAAGTAAGTAAATCCTAAAACATATTGAACTTTTGAACTTAAAAACTGTCTTCCACCATCAACCATTCCGGTAAATACATCCAGTAAATCGCGACTATAGTGTGAGTAAAAACAACTCACTTAACAAATAATCCATAAACAATTGAATAACTTAAACGACTGAAATCAAAAAATCAAAATCATTAACCATCTTTACATGCATAAATTCTTTGATAAGAATGTCTTTACGTAAATTTTGTGAGAACTTGCTTAAACACCATTGGATTAATCTGTAAAAATATCATTTCAATCCGATGAAAATAAATCTAATGGTATTTAAACATTGTCCTCATAAAATTTATGTAAATTAATTTGTAGAGTATTCAATAGATCTCTGAGATTAGTTGAGAATTGAGATGTATACAGACTAGTTCGGACACTTCGGTTATAAAAAAAAAAATAATAATTATGTAAAGATGTCTTTACTAGAGAATTAAATATATATATAGGGATATATATATATAGTGAATCAGGGTATATTGGGTATTTATCCAGTCAAAGATGGTCAACCAAGCATTTCTTTATGAGTAACGATGGGGAGGCATCGTTAGTTTATGAAAATTATGCGTGGTGAAAATTTCGAAAAACAACTGAGGGGTGTCAAAGTTTCGCAAAACAACTGAGGGGTGTCAAAAAAATTCCCCAAGTGTGAGTAACAATAACAATTAGGAAAATTTCACAAAATCGACATTGCAATTGCATACAAATCTTTCATGCGCTATCCGCATGTTAGAACTTAAAACCCGCGAACAATAGCACGCATACTGGAAACACAACTCAAAATAAAAGTAAAATAAGGGCTTAGTTCAAGTAGCTATGGCGGCTTATTCATCAGAAGCTGAAAATCAATCTCCAGCAATTTACATACCACACCAATGGTCCGAGGCTGCGGACTCCATAGCTTACGATTCAAACACTTCGCCTCCTCCTATTGCTTTGATTTGCGGGGCCAAAAACTGTGGCAATACCACCTTCTCTCGCTGTCTCGTTAACATTCTTCTACAGAGGTAAATGTTTCTTTTTATTTGAACACGGTTTTGCTGTCAATTTCATTTGTTGATTCAACGGATTTAATTTGAAATTCGTTTGCTGGCATGTAATGGTTGAGTTTATTTATGTGCTCCGTAACTGAATAATCTTTGTATGTTTTTATATTGTGTGTGTAGATATAGAAGAGTTGCATATTTGGATACTGATGTTGGGCAGCCTGAGTTTACTGCTCCTGGTTTTTTATCTCTCACTGTGGTTGATAAGCTCACTCCTGGTATTTATTTTATGATCTTTTATTATTATTATTTTTTTAAGTTTTCAAGCTATAATTTATTTATTTTTTGTTAATTTTGTTCAAACAATTGTTTCTTATATTATTTACTAATCGAGGGTCTTATGTTCCTGTTTCTTTTGCTAAAAATAGATTTGACAATTCCATGCCTGAAGACACCTGAGAGGTACAAATTCTAGACTTATCCAGCCTCCAATAACTTATTTTGTGTATTGACAATCTGCAATGTTGCTTTTGGAATATACTAGTTGTTTTAATGTCTGTTGTGGCATATGTTTTGGTGGCCTTACACAAAACATATGAAAATGCAACATTGTTGGACCCATAAAACTAATAGAGAAGGATTAAATGTGGCTCTAATATCTCCAATGAGAGAAGGTTAATAATTTGAATGTTGAATCTTCCATGGCTTTTTTGATGGATTTTTCTTGATCTTATCAGCAGTTAGTCCATTGTTATAGTTATTTATGATATATTGCTGTATTTCTTTTATCATTTGTTATTTTTTATCATATAAGGGTCATTTGAATCGGGAAGCAGCTAGATATATATCACATAATTATTTGAAAAAGAGCATTAGGGCTTTGTAAATGTTCTACTATGTGGAAGTTTAATGGAAACCTTAGTTTCTTAAGACAGTCTGATTCTGTGTATGAGTTTAAGCACTATGAATAATTGTATCATTTGATTTGAAATCCAGCTGTCTATTTAAAATGTTAGATAAATGATCACTGAATCTCCCATGGTATGTAGTTGCATATATATCTTGGATAACATTATTTTTGAATTAATGCATGAGAGCCTGAACCACGAGCTCATTGTTTTGGGTTTTTTTAATGTCGTTGATCGCCTAGGTTTTTGTTATACTGGAATTGATTATTTGCTGTAGTACTTCAGTGCTATTTTCACTCTGACCCTGTCACTTACAGCTGATATTTATTTTCTCTAGATGCTTTTTCTTTGGTGATGTTTCTTCAAAAAGGGATCCAACAGCGTATTTGAAATGTATCTTCACCTTGTATGATTACTATCGGAAAGAGTATTGCATATCTGACAAGAATAAAAGTACTGGCAGGACTGAGTTGCCTCTTGTTGTGAATACACCTGGTTGGGTGAAAGGTTAGCTTCTTAATGTTTGCATTTTTTTCCCCCTCTAGTTGTAACATTAATTAATTTCTCCTCTTGTCATGGATTAGTTATTTTTCCTCTTAACTATTCTTCATTTGAGCACTAAGTAATTTAACAGTGATCTTGATTTTTCACATTTCTTTTATGTTCCAGGTTTTGGTTATGATATGTTGGTAGACATGTTGAGGTATATTACCCCTAGCCATGTAGTTAAGATAAAAATATCTTTTGAGAGTAAGAATCTTCCTGCTGGGGCATTCTGGTTAGATGGTGATTCTGATGGGGATGTTAATCTTATGGAGATCAGTTCAGCTCGCCAGGACTCTTACAATAGATCGTAAGTTCTTAGCTCTATTTTAGTTTACCCTGCAATTATCAAATTCTGCCTTAATGTTTTTCTTTATTTCCTTTGGAACTATAAATCAATGTTAATGGTAAATATGGAGTGCTTTGACATGGGTTGGTATTTGTTCTTGATATGTGGTGATCATTTCTCATTTTTCTTTCCTACTATAACACTTTTCCCAACTATGGTATGGAGTTTTAGTTCAGTTACTTGTAAGCTTGGGTATTATGAAAAGTAATATTAGTAATTGAATCAGTTTTGTGTAAGTTATAAATTGTTTCACTATATAATTGGTAGAGACTCTTTCATTGGCAGATAGGCTGAATGAAGATTATATTAATTTTGTCTGTTACCTAAACTAGATACTTCTGTTTGGAGTTCTATAATTTGTAAAATTTTGTTATCTAATTCTAACTTACAGTAATTCTTCTTCTAATTGAACTTTTCAAATATCAATATCAAAAGTTTGCTCCTTTCCTGATTCATGTTTTAACAGGATGGGTTTCTATTTATTACATTGCATTTCCATTCTCTTTTACAGAGTGCTAATACAAAAGGATGCACGACTTTTGCGAGACTTGCGTATAATGGCTTATTTCAGGCAATGCTTTTCTAGTAACCAGAACATTACTACAATCAAAGAACTTGCACATGCACTGGCTTCTCATCCTCCTTATGAAGTTCCTATTTCAAGTATCAAGATTAGACATCTCCATTGCCAGGTTAATTTTTAAGACATTGAAGGAATTGCAGTTGGTGTTCTGACAATTTTATGTTACTCTGGCACACTTTATATAAATACCGCTTTGATTTCTCTGTCTTTTTCCTGTTAAAATTTGGATATTTGGAAGATTCTAAGGTAGATGTCATTGATGAAAGCTTGCTATATACTCCACTTGGTGTCATTGTTAAGGGAAGACCTTATTTATGTTTATATGTTTTATGCTAGGTACCCAGTACTGAAATTTTCTACAGTTTGAATGCAACCATTGTTGGCTTGGCAACTAGCTCTGAGATGTGTGAGAACTTACCTTGGTGTGTTGGTCTTGGTAGGTCACTTCTACATCATCTTTTCTTTATTTTATTCTTTGCTTTTACCACAAGCCCTTCTGTTTTGTTTGAATTAGTAAAATTTTTCACTTATTTCATTCCTGTCTATTTGGGGTCTAAAGTGTGATGTTTTAAGACTTGAAGAAATTTAAGCCATTGGGCATAAGATTTACCTTTGGCAAGTGGGACAGTTAGAGTGTACTGGGATCCAGGTTATTATTGTTCTTGCAGGAAAACTGCTCTGTCTATTTGTGCTACAGTATCCTTATTGTGCAGAGTTAATGAATATGGTCTCATGGCACTTGTCTGTATGTTTTAAGCATAAAGACATAAGTATATGGCTATGAATATTTTATTTATCTTACATAATGCTATTATTATACAGGGATTGTTAGAGGAATTGACACTTTGAAAGGCTTGCTTTATGTTATCACACCTGTTCCACCAAGCATCCTGGAAAAGGTTGATCTTTTTCTGCAGGGTTTCATCCAAATTCCTACTTGCTTGCTGCAGGTAACAGATTTCCTCCAATGACAGTCTTCATTTCTTTCGCTTAAATGATTTTTTATTTTATTTTATTTTTTGTGAAAGCATATATAACCTTCTTTTTGACTGCCAGGTTAATTCTTATTTTTAACAATTGCTTTGTTCTTTGGTTTCCTCTGCAGGTGCAGGGATGCACATCTCCTTACATATCTGTTAATGTTTTACCTACAAGCTAGCTGATAATTAATATAGAGTTGTTGATGCTCGAATTTATTTTTATATAGTCCACATCATAGGTGTTCAACTAAGTTGAATCCCAGCTTGTAAAAGATGGCATTTTGGTTACAGTGTAGCAATCATATTTATGCTAATGTAAAAAATATATCATAAACTGTCTCCTTTTGTCTCTAAATAATGCACCTATGGAAAATATTTCTCTCATCATGTACAAAATATGTCACGAAGAACATATAGCCATACGAGTACTCATGGAGAAATGGTTCAACTATGTGCCAAAATGACATGTTGCAGCGAAATTTGAATGCTGTTCAACTCTGGGTATGCTGCGCTTGGGACTTGGACGTAAAGCAACTTGTTTGAGGTAAATTGAATGATTGTGATAGTGGAAATAAGCCAAGTTTTGTGAACTTGTTTATTTTAGCAGACAAATGGGTCTGTTGGACAGCATTGTTTTAAAACCCGGACCGGAGGGCAAACCGTTTTGCTGTTCGGGTCACGGTTCAATCGGTCCAACCGGTTGGACCGGTGACGTCAGCAATATTTTATTTTAAAAAAATTACATATTAACCCCTTAAATCTTAATATATTACAAAAATTCTCCTAAAAAAGTTCAAATTGGTCCCTAAAATTTTTATTTATTCCAAAAATACCCCAATAAAATTACCAATTAATCTTTAAACTTTTGATATATCTTCAAAATACCCTTATAAAATTACAAAGTAACCCTCATAATTTTAAAATATTTCAAAAACCCTCCTGAGACCTAAACCGGACCGGAGAAGCTACCGGTTCACGGTCCGACCGGCCGGTCCGGTCCGGTTTTTAAAACAGAGTTGGACAGCTTTAATCGAATAATTTATACACCAATGTAATTTGTCAGTTGTTAACAAAATTTGACATCATGTATGAATTAAGCATAAGTTTGATTTGAGGATATTGTGGTTGGATAAAATAAAGATACAATAAATCATTGATAGTTTTTATCCACAATAAACCCACTTAATAGCCGACCAAAACGTAGAGGTCTTGTCTTTGTTGTGATTTGTTAAATACTACATGATTGACCGTTATTTCCGGTTCATGGGCTTCCTAATAAACCTCAAATTTTTTTATTAAAACTTTCCTATTTAAAGATAATTTAAATTTACCACCCAAATTTTGAAACCTAAAATTGAGCATTACCCTCTCACTTCTGTCCTTTTCTTCCTCTCAAAATCACTCTCCTCCACAGAGGAAGGTCATGATCATGGTCTGGTTTGTCCCCCTCAGGTCATGATCTTTTAACCTCATCATCATCCTTTGAGAATTTCGGTCTAAACCTGCTTAATTTTAATCAACTTGGACAAGCACAAAAGTAGCATTTCTTTGTTTTTAGGATTACCAAAAAAGAAAAAAGAAAATATGGCAAAGAGATCATTTAAGTGTTTTGTGGAACAAGAATTTGGAAAGTTCCCATATTTCTTGATTTATGCTGCTCTTGAATGGGTGTTGATAATTTTACTTTTCATTGATGGGTTTTTTGCATTTGTTGCCAATGAATTTGCCAAGTTCTTTGAGTTGAGAATTCCTTGCTTGTTTTGTACAAGGATTGATCATGTTGTTGTTCATAGAAATTCTGATTTTTATTACAATGAATCCGTATGTGAGAATCACAAGAAAGAAGTGTCATCCCTTGCATATTGCCATGTTCATAAGAAGCTCTCTGATATAAGGGAGATGTGTGAGGGATGTCTCCTTTCGTTTGCTACAGGTAAAGATTCTGATTGCGATACCTATAAATCTCTGGTTGGGATTTTGCATAAGGATGTTGAAATGCTTGTTGATGATGAACATGAAATTCAGTGGAAATTTCCTTCTAATAAGAAGGATGAGTTGATGCGAATGGGGAAGAGTAGTTTCAATTGCTGTTCTTGTTGTAGGGAGCCATTGAAAATTAAATACCACTCAAAAGCTAAAAATATGGGGCTTACTTCATTGGCTCCTGCTTCTTCTCCACGATCACCATTCATGACTTCGAGAAGTGAGGAGTCTCGCCAGTTGGAGTTGCCCCACATTCAATACACAGAACTCAAGCTTGTCTTAGATAATGAATCAGAGGTTCCAGAGGATGTTTGGAGTCTCAATAGGCAAGGTGAGTTTGTAGCCTTTTGGTATAAATTTTTACATTTAACCTTTGTTATTATGCGATTCTCTCTTGCATATTTTTCCAATTTATTTAGATTATTTTTTTCAAATCCGCAGTCATATATAACTGATCATACTTGGTTGCCTGCATTGCTCTGCGCCATTAATTATTCACATGTGCTATAAATTGTAATCAGAATATATCTTTCTGACTGGCTTTCAAATCTTTCATTATCCACCTGCTGAGAAGTTTCCAAGTGTCTATGTCCATGACAGTGTCTGCTTGGCATGTAATTAATCCATTTTAATGAATCTTCTGTAGCAGTAAGGGAAGAAGTCAAAGCGGCTACTGTTCCATTGCTGACTGATTCTGAAGATTTTAATGACGATAGAACTCCTACATTTGTCAGAGGAAACAGATTCTTTGGAATCCCACTCTCAGATTCAGCTCATAACAGTCCTAGGTTTGGCACAAGGCTTCTACGAAAATCACCACTTGAGAAAACAGCTGATTCTAAAGAGTCTACTGAGGGAAACGGATCAAATGAAGGATATGGTGACTCCATTTTGCACCATTTAAATAGACAGGTTCGCTTGGATCGCAAGTCACTGATGGCTCTCTACATGGAATTGGATGAAGAAAGAAGTGCTTCTGCTATTGCGGCTAACAATGCAATGGCCATGATTACTAGGTTGCAGGCGGAGAAAGCAGCTGTTCAGATGGATGCCTTACAATATCAGAGGATGATGGAGGAGCAGGCAGAGTATGACCAGGAAGCTTTGCAAACAACCAAGGATTTGCTCTCCAAGAGAGAGGAAGAAGTTAAAGAATTAGAGGCTGAGCTTGATGCTTATAAAGTAAAATATGGATGCTTAAGGGAAGATGAAATCGAGGGGCGAGGAGCTCAGAATGATGAGGATTACCAAGAGTATAAATCAAAATCTTGCACATCCAACAATGTAAAATCTGAATGTAGCAGTTCACCTGATGGTTTTGTTAAAGTATCGTCCTTCAGTGGTCGTGCTGGATCACTGAAGGACAATAACGGAGGGAAAACAGATGAAAAATTACTGAAAACCAAAGACCTGGGGCATGTCAAAAGCCTAGAGAAGAAAGTTCACTTCTCTTTAGATAATGTGATCCCTTCCTCACAATCTTAGCTGCCAAAGTTATCCATACAAAAAAAGACAGGTATGTGACATACATACTATTTTATTTGACTAGATGAAAGATTAGTGAATTGCAAGATTTGTTTTGCCTATAAATAAGATTTTACTTGTTCTTGGTGGCCTATAACTTTTATTCACATTCTGCAACTGGAAGTCCGGATCTTAAAATTTTTGTTTGTCTCTGTTTGAGAAACTACCAAAGATCTTCCCTCACCGTTCAGCATACTGAAATTAGTAGTTTCTTTGAAAACTAAATATACGATGTTGTGGTTCTACTGGCGAACTTTGTTTTAGAGTTTCCCTTTTTGTTTAAGGCTAATGCTTTCCTTTAAACTGCCAAAGGCTACAGTCAATAGGGTGAATAACTGAAAACTTTTTAATTATCATATTTTCCTATGCAGGAAAAAATATAGTAGTAAAGTCAGGTTGACGTCTCCGAAGAACTTTATATTAGTGATGTCAGTGATCATCGGAAATTTAGTGAAGTCTAGTGTGAACTTACACAATCACTTGGATGACAGAACACGGACACTGTGATATAAAGGTTATATTATTAGCAAATCCTTTGTTCAAGCTTCAAAGCATAAAGAGCAGCTTGACTGACATTTTTGTGTTGCTTAAAGGGTGCTAGGAGATCATGTTGGAGATGCCATGGAAGGTAGAGAAGGCCGCACGTAAATCTTCAAAGCTGATGAACAAATTGCAGAGTGGTATATAAACCCCCCAAAGAAGTTGGTACCGTGAATGCAAATAGCGTCTTTTACCAGAATTTTTGTATATCATGTATGGATCATTTTTTCTCGCCTTTCTTTTGTTCTGTTCATCGATAAATTTCTATCATGAGCCGGATTATCTTTCAACATATAAGCAGATCATTTTCTAGTATATAAAAGGTAATTATTGAAACAGATCAGCAGTTTATAAACAGACTCAGAGAAGCCTCCTGAATGACAGAAACTAAAACTTTTTCGTTAAGTCTATGAACCATTGCACCTGTTGGTACTCATTTGAACAAGAATTCCCATTAAACAAACTTGAAAGGCACACAACTTTGATATATTATTACATGTAAGAAACACACAACACAATTAAGTTCTCCAGTATAAAAAACAAAATACATAAAAACATACGCGAAGCATATCGCAATATAGGTAGTACAGTATTCAATTGTGGTTTACATGTGGGGTTTTACACAGAAATGTCATTTACCCATTTGTTGATGTCACTGCTATCCCCACCACAAAATCCTCCGCCCGCCTCTGGTGAATTGAAGTAAAGGGGAAGAATACTGCGTCCAGTTCCTTCACAAGGATCATGGATTACAAATTGTGGATTCATGAAGTTAATTTCCCACTCACTGCCAAATGGAGAACAGTCACTAATAGAGAAACTAGAATACGAGGATCCTTGTTCTTGATTAATTAGTGACGGCAGTGTGGAGAAAGAGCCCTCATCTAGCTCATTACCTTCAAGTGCATTCGATATTGTGGGTAGATCAGAATACACTGGCAGAGAGTTCTCTACAATATGATTTGCAGAATTGGAAATCAAATTGTTACTTGATTGTAACTGTGATTTTGGAGAAGTATTCTCGATAACTTGATTTCTAGAATTAGAAATCAAAACATTACTTGGTAGTAATTGTTCTGGAGAAATATTTCCTTCAGCATGATTTCTAGCATTAGAAATCAAATTATTATTTGGTAAACACTGTGGCAGTAACTGAAATTCTTGAGAAGTATTTTCCTCAGAAATCATGCAGTTACTTGGTAGAAATTGGGGTAGTAACCGCAATTCTGGAGAGGTATTTTCTTCAGCAGAAACAACATGATTTCTAGATTCAGAAATCAAATAATCATTTGCTGGTAAGTGTGACAAGAACTCCAATTCTGGAGAAGTATTTTCTTCAGCAGAAAAAATACGATTTCTAGATTCAGAAATCAAATAGTCACTTGCTCGTAACTGTGACAATAACTCCAATTCTGGAGAAGTATTTTCTTCAGCAGAAAAAATACGATTTCTAGATTCAGAAATCAAATAGTCAGTTGCTGGTAACTGTGACAATAACTCCAATTCTGGAGAAGTGTTCTCTTCAGCAGAAAAAACACGATTTCTAGATTCAGAAATCAAATAGTCATTTGCTGGTAATTGCAAAAATGACTCCAATTCTGGAGAAGTATTTTCTTCACCATGATTTCTAGATTCAGAAATCAAATAGTCATTTGCTGGTAATTGCAACAATGACTCCAATTCTGGAGAAGTATTTTCTTCAGCATGATTTCTAGATTCAGAAATCGAAAAGTCATTTGTTGGTAACTGCAATTCTGGAGAAGTATTTTCTCCAACATGATTTCTAGAATTAGAAATCATATAGTTACTTCGTAGAAACTGCAGTAATAACTGCAATTCTGGAGAAGTATTTTCTTCAATACGATTTCTGGAAATCGAAGTGTTTTCTTCAACACAATCTCTAGATTCAGACGAAGTATATTCTTCGACACGAATTCTAGAATCAGAAATCGAAGTATCTTCACCAAAATTTCTAGATTCAGAAATCAAACTAGTTTCTTCAACAAGATTTCTAAACTTAGAAATCAGATTGCTATTTGGTGGTAATTGTGATTCCAGAAAAGCGTTTTCTGCAACATGATTTCTGGAACCCCAAACCGGATAATTACTTGGTAAAAAGTGTGATTCTGGAAAAATATCTTTGGTAGCATGACTGTGATTACTAAAAGCCAGATGGTGATTCACTTGACCCTCATTGCGGATTGAAATAGGGAGATTTTGATGTTGTTGACGTTCAACCTCTGTTGAAGTACGAAGCTTTTTATGTTGTCGACCTTTAACATAGGTTGAATTACGACGCTTCTTATCTCCATTTCTTTTTACGCGACACACAACAAAATCCTTCTGCACAAATTAATGGTCACAATTAAATGAGATTGCTATCTATAAATGCTATATTATCAATAGCAATAGCAAATTTTCATTAAAAAAAAAGGCAGAATAGTACATGCCAAGGTTCTAGCAGCAAGCAGATCAACAATTTCTCATTCATCAAAACAAGTCACATTCATGCTAACTTTTCCTAACCAATTGAATAATAGTTTTCCAGCTATAATTTGAGGTTGAAGTGAAAAACAAAGATTAAATTTTCTTTCATAGTTGCAGGGAAATGACATGTTATGAGCGTAATAAGCAATAAAATGGAAAGCAACGCCAAATGTACTAGTCGAAACCAAACAAATAAATAAAAAATGAGACTAGCATATACCTTATAAAGAGGATTGTCTTTGGCAGAGAATTGATGCATGACCCAGTCGGTTTTAGTACCTTTGGGACCCTGACCACGTTCATAGAAAACTAAGATCTTTTTTCTGCCAATAGCATCAGTGCCACCTTTGGCATTGATTTCACTACCCTTACCGGTTATTTTCCAGTACCCTGTCTTTGTTGCTCTGTGAACTCGATCCCTCTCAGCATTTACATAATCAGGTGCGCAGAAAAAGCTACACCATTTTCCATCGGACTGAATTTGTGAAAGCCCTGAATCACACCCAGAACAAATCAACTATCAGAACCATTCTTGACGAAGTAGATAAAAATATCATATGGACATTAAAATGATTGTGTTGACTGATATTAGAAATCAACATACCGAACAATTCACCAGGTTCGAAATCGTAGATATTAGTCTCAGTAATAGCATGGACAGAGAAATCAGGGTCAAGCCTCTTCTTTTCCAGAAAACGGATGATTTCTTCATCAGTCGGATGGAATCTAAATCCAACAAGAGCGTCCATTTGAATAATTTGCTCTAATGGCAAGGGGGCGATCAATTATTTATATACACGAAAAGCAAGCAATGCTCAACAGTCAACATTCTCGAAGAAGTGTGTGACGCTGTGCATAAACTTGCCGCCCAAGGAGTGTAAAGAAGACCCCACCATCTCACTCTGCGCTCCCTTTCATATTTGAATATTTCACCTTCCACTTGAAGGTGTCTCCTTCCTCAACAAGTAGTGACTGGTGAAGTCAGAAAGAGAAAAGACTTTCACCCTTCCTTTACAAGTTGTTTGAATGGGATTAAAAGTCTAGAATCTTCTTCTTCTTTTGTTGTCTTTCTCTTAATGCCCCTCCTTTGTTAAGTGAAATAGGTTCGGTTTGTTTTATTATTTTGAATAAAATTTTAGAAATAATATTGGATAATTGAATAAGGGAGTATTATGAGGTAAAATTTAAAAATTTATAAAAAAACCTCATAGGTTTGCTAATTTAACTAAACATCCCAATATATAAAAATTTTGTAAAATGACAAAAACACTCCCACCACTCGCCGAAAAATTGCATTACATCACAGACCAGTCGGATCTGGCGGGTAGAGCATTGATATGGCATTTTTCGGTTAGATCTACGGTCAGAAAAGGCTAGATCAATGAATTACTGGCCATTTTCGATGGTGGTGTAGACCGTTGTGATAGATTCCGGTTACCACCAACGGTGGTTGTCGAAATCTGGCAAGTATTGGTAGGTGGGGGTGTTTTTGTTAATTTTTAAACTTTTTTAGGGGTTATTTAATGAAATTAATAAACTTAAGGGGTCTAAAAGTAATTAAAAAATAGACTAATATTTCTCAAATAATATGCCAAACAATATTTGGGGAACAAGATTGGGAATATGGGTAGAAATAATAAGCCCAACGGAGCCGAAACTATTACATAGTAATACTTTCTTCTTCGAAAGTAACAGTGAAGTGACCCCCATTCTTTTACAAGTTGTTTCTGTCCTTATTATATATAAAGTGTGTTTGGTTCAGGAAATGTTTTATTACTAAAAAGGTAGGATTATTAGTGAGATAGATTACCTTAAAAATTATGAGGGAATATTATATTAATATGTTTGGTTAGATTGGTGGGTATAAATAATTAAAATGCTTAGTCGGAAGAAATAAAATATTTTCGGCAAAGACTTTTACTGAATTGCCCTTTCTTTCTAATGATATTATTATAATTATTATTTAGATAGATTCTTTTAACCCCCAACAACAAAAATTTAAATTTTAACAAAATACCCCAATTACTGCAGACGACTAATGGGCACCATTGCTGGTGGCCACCAAGAGTCGCTAGAACAGTGCACGACCGGTCGAATCTGGCCAACAGTGCATCGATTTGGTCGTTTTCGTCTAGACCGAAGGCTGAAAAAGGCTAGATGGCCGTAGATCTGACCATTTTTGGCTAGATCCAAGGTCGTTAACAGTCGTGGATGGTTGAGTATCTAGCCATTTTCAGCTAGATCCAAGGCCATTAGCGACTAAATCCAAGGCCGTCTTGTCGTTTTCAGCCTTCGATCTAGTAAAAAATGGTCATCTTGGTGCATGGCCGACCATATTTAATTAGTTGTGCGTCATTTTGGCGACTGCGGGAGGCCACCAATGGTGGTGGCCAGAAGTTGTCTACAATGGCTAAATAATTTTGGGTGGTATTTATATAAATAGTGAGGGGCATTTCTATCCAAAAAATTAATTTATGAGGTTATGGAAGTTATTTTGCATAGTTGAGCTAATTGTTAATTGGTAAACATATGAGGACATTTGTGTTTGAAGTGTTTTTTAATTAAGGATAAAATTGATATGAACAGTGGATTACCTTGGTAATCTTTTAATAACACATATTGATTACCTCCTATATTACCAACAGTAACAACTATTGTCAATGAAAGATTACTTAATGCCCGTAATAAAAGATAGATTACAGGGGTAATCTTCCTAGACCCCTACCAAACACACCCTAGATTGATGTTATGTATATACACGAATGAAAATTGATTCTCTTTGGCAATATCAAAAGGAAAATTTCTTGGAATTTTTTATTTTTTGTTATTTCTTTAGCAATAAGTTTGTATTCCAACCCTTTTAAAAATATCCACTATTTTATCTAATTCATAAATGAATAGCTCCACAATAAACTTGTGCAACAAAAATACCTTGAGGCTTTAATGGACGATCAGTGGAACATATGATTTTCATACCTCTCATGCTTTTTGTTGATGTGATAAATCGTATCAACAAAAGATACTCAGCCGGCCTCGGGATGGGCTGAGCAAGATGTGCATGTGGCCACGGGTGACTAGCAAGGTCGCAAAAGCAACGTAGTAAAGTAAAGAACACAAGGAATTTATAGTGGTTCGATGGTTATGAGTGGGTGTTACAAGGTGTAATAAATTTAAATGAAGTTACAAAGGAGGGGAGATGCGAGCATGAATTGAAGGCCTTCAAGCTTTGTGATCAATCTTCTCTTTAACTCTCTTTAGAAGATCACTGTATTTTCTACTTGAGCTTTACTAATGCTGGAAGAGAGTCATTTCAAACAGAGGTTAAAAGCTCATTTTATACTCATCCTATTTGACAGTTGGTGAGAGTGGATGCTATGGGATTTCTTGCACGCATAATCCCCCTAGTTAGGATCAGGATTAGTAATTCCATGCTTGTTGTAGGTCGGACCATGCTAATAGAAACTTCTATTGACTTATGGTAATCACCTTATAAAACAAGTCAAACACCAAGAAGATGACACGTAGGAAGATCCTGGGTGTTAGGCTACTGTGTATTTTAGAGACACATGGCATTTATCGGACCATTCGGGAATTAGGCATAACATCAACACCCTAGTTTTTGAAGGGCATATCGGGCTTTGAAAACCTCTACTTTAGTGATCGTATACGAAAATGGAGTGCGGGTCTCGATGCTCGCCATTCTTATGAGCTATAACTCTTTGGCCTATTACTTCACATCCATGCAAGGAGTTATGTTTGACACCCTTTGCTTCCCTCTTGATGAGTCATATCAGCCGTCATTTTGTCTAATTTTTCATGGCACAATGAATGGTGGCGTGTCGGTCTCTTTTTCCCTTGTGTACGAGTATGTTGGGAACGACGATAGTTGAGAGAAATGAAACGGCGCCTGTACCCCTTATCTAGTCATTGGAAATGGCGATAATGATGACAACGAACAATTCGTCTTCCCATTCGCTTATAAATATAGTTTTTGCGATTAGGTTTGCCACCATCGCCTCTTCTGCTTTCTCCATCCTTTTTGAAAAGAAAATTTCTGGTATGTCGCTCTTATTTGGTCTTGTCATTGCTATTTGTACTTCTTACATTTTTCTAACTGTGGTTGCTTTCTTATGCAAATGTCTATTGTTAATAACCTTCATGCTCAACAGAGAGGGACGGGAGCAATGAAAGGGTCCTTTCTTGCGGTGTTCCAGACCATGGCGTTGTGTGACGCCTCTCAAGCATTTCATCAAACACTTGGTGTGCGTCACCCGGACATTCTAGAAGCTTCCGGAACACTCTTGTACATGCTAGAATATTGTAATTAATGTGGTAGTTGGTAGATAGTAGTTGGTAGGTGGTAGTTTGGAGTTAACTAATCTCCACCGTTGATCTCGGAAGATCTTGACCGTTCATTGTATATTCCAACTACTATAAAAGGGGGAGGCCTTCATTTGGCCAAACCATCCAAAAATTGTAAAGTTCTCTCAATTAGTAAAGAGTTTTCTTCTAGCATCTCTTGTGAGTTTGTGTGAGTGTTTTCTTACTTGCAGGGCTAGGAGCGTGAGCAAGCAAGGCTGACTTAGGGTAATCATCGGGAGATTAGCACCTAAGGCCGAACGAGTTCGAAGGGAAGCAAACGGGTCGTTACAGTTGGTATCAGAGCCAGAAGATTCTTGGTTCAAGATGTCGTCCAAAGTTTGCCATGAAGAGCAAAGGGGGAGGGAAGCCAATCCTAACCCCAACCCTTCCAAGAAGAACTCTCGAGGAGGGAAGGACAAGTCCGTGGACGTGATTGCCTCCATGGAAGCGCGGGTGATGCGCAACGAGGTGAATGTTGCCGAAGTGAAGGAACACCTCGACTTCCTCGATCAAAAGATGGACGATGTTGAAGGCATGGTCGAAACCATGGGAGAGTTTCGCCAACATGTTGCCGATAAGCACCAAGCCTTTGAGGAGTTCCAAGTGGTGGTGTTGGACTCTCTTAGGACATTACAAGCTCAAGTGGAAGAGCTCCGATCGGGTTTAGAAGAAAGCAAGGGCGATTGGGCATTTTGCAAGAGGGCGGTGGCAAACGGGGTCGTCACCAATGCTGCACCTCCCGCAAGGGTCGAAGTTCCAAGACCGCGAAAGTATGGGGGAAAGCGGGATGCCCAAGAGCTGGAGAACTTTCTATGGTCCATGGAGAGGTACTTCGAAGCTACTAATGTCCAAAGTGAGCAAGAGAGGGTGAACATTGCAACCGGGTATCTTGAGGACCATGCAATCGCGTGGTGGCAACGGAAGCATGCTGAGATTATGCAAGGCACATGCATCATCAACACTTGGGAGTTACTCAAGTGTGAAATCAAAAAGCAATTCTATCTGGGCAACGTAGCATATGAGGCATGAAAGAAGATGCGGGAACTCAAAGACACGGGGCCTATTTCTAGGTATGTGGATGAATTCTCTAAACTTATGCTTCAAGTTGATAACATGAATTCGGAAGATTTGCTATTCAACTTTATGGAGGGGCTCCAACCCTGGGCACAATGGGAGCTCCAAAGGCGTCAAGTAGCCAACATCTCCACAGCCCTTACCGAAGCCGACATCCTTGTTGAGTTCCACAAGGGAGAACCATCCAAGCCGAAGAAGGATGGCAAGTCCGATCACGGCAAAGGCGGGGGAGGAAAGGGAGACAAACCATCCCACCGAGAGAAGGAAGATAAGCCGCCTCACAAGAAAGAATGGCGGAAGGATGGCAAGAAGGAATACAAGCGTCGT